GTGATTATGCCGCCCCGGGCACGGCGAACCCAGTGCCGATGCAGCTCATCGCCGGAGATGGACTCCTTCACATTTGTACTTTGAGAATGACTGCTACGATTGAAGAGCTCCCGTTACACAATTGCACTTATTCATGTTTGATACAAGGCTAAGTAAACTAATCAACTAAACGCTCCAAAAATATAATCCATGCAACAAAAAATGTAGTAGATTCTTGGGTGGGGAAGAGGAAATATGAAAATCGAGAAGTGAGGGTAAGCTGACCTGTAATAAGAGTCGGAACTGCGTACGAGGTCGACCACGTAAAGGACGGTGGAGAGCGCACGACCGTGAGCGTTGGGAGAAACATCAGCGCGGTCCTTGAGGCCCATAACAACATCCACCTTGGCACTGTCCTTACTGCCGAACCGAAAAACCGAAGAGCGTAGCAATCACTGCATGTGCATGACTGTGCTACTGAAATGGAAAAGTGGAGAGGTTCCATGTGCTCTACGGTTACGATTCTGGTAAAGGCAGTGTGGGCCTAAATTAGCAATGCAGAGAAGCGAAAATGGAAACATGTCCCTCCCTACAGCTGTAGTGACCGTTTCATTTTTAGGCGTCACGGATGTGCTTCTTTAATTGAGTTGCCATTAGCTTTCTCTCTATCATCCTCACACCTCTGCCTGATAGATGAAGCTACAGCGGGAAGTACTGACTGATACGGCCATTTATGTAGGCAGGTACGTAGACCGGTCGTGTCCGTGTTCCTCATTCGCGCAACTTAGCGAATGACTAAGTCACCATACAACCACAAATATACCTTTTTCAGCGACACAACAATGAGATGCTCGTTCTAGCAGTGACAGCAATGGCTGTGGTGGTGGCAGTAGATGCTATACATAGTTTACAGTCCTAGCTGATGCAGTCAGTGTCCTAAAAGATGGGAGGAAAAGGACCAGCTATATACAGAATTGCTTCTAGCTGAAAAGGTGCTCAGATATGGTTGTATTTTCTCCGAAATTCAAATAGGTGCATTAGGCTACCACAAAATACGCTTGGCGTCACTACATATCCTCCCTGTGGGCAAAAGATCAAAAGCACCTTTTCAACAAATAGGCGTATATTCCAACCTGGAAAACACTCGTTTGTGCGCAGAAAAGGAAAGAGCAAAAGAGGGTACTTTAAGGTCACAACGGGACTATTTCTTCGCAACTCACTGCCGATATCATCCAGCTGTACACGACAAAATGGATAGGTCAGAACACACTTGGATAGAATGCAGTTAGCTCCAAAAGTAGTTGCTAAGTAGTATGCTTGGCACGTACGCAGGAAATGAGTTGAACATGGGAAATTTTTAAGAGGACTGTGCCCAAACTATGGAATCTGGTAAAGGCAGCATGAACACTGGTGTTGCTGTAAGATGATATTCGAGGTGCGTGCAATACTAAAGAAGATGCTACTGCCTGGGCATCACTAATGGTCTTAAATGTGTTGTTGACTTAAAAGAATAAAATTTAGGGTTTTTGCTGCTAGAAGCACAACCATACATACACCTTTAATTATGTTCACCTAATTATTATCAGTGCCTTACACATGGCTCAGCATTTGACTGAGACAGTTTTCAAATGTGCATAGACACCCCGTAGACAATCATGTTTGCATCGCAAATGGACTGATACGTGTAATGGCGTTGTGAGGCAATAAGATAAACTGACTAAAAGCACCTGATGGTCAGTGAAAACCCTCCTTACA